AACGTGCCAAAAAGTCTGCTACCTTAACCGCAGAAAAGGATGACGTATTCATTAGATTGCCTTTCTTAGGTGATATAACAGTTGGGGTGGTATGAAGAGGCCTAAAAACTGCGATCACAAGCACGTTTCCCGTCGCAAACTTACGCGTGTTCTTCACTAACTCTACCCTTCTACGACCAGGAGACTAAATCCGACTGCCGTTGATGGTCAAACCCCATGTGCATTTACTGTCCAATTTTTATTTTTTTTCCTGCAAATATGCTGGCCCGTTTAAGAGTTGGTAAAAACATGTTTATCAAATTGACTTTTCAAACTAAACATATGTCTATTTGCACAAATATTTTCATCAAATAGAAGGTATATGTAACTGAGCTAACTTTTTTGAGAACATCGGAGTAGGGGAATATGCGTTTTGGGGTTCTTGCACAACATTGAATTGACATCAGCAGTTGCCAAGCGAGATGGTAACCATAAAGAAATTGAAGAAAATAAAAGGCCTCGTCGGCAAAATTGGGGTTTACTCCCTAATTTTGAAGTTGGTGACACCAACCAGTTATCAGGCGAAATGAGCTGACGATAAATTGAGCGGGCCAGCTTAGACGAGTTGATGCGGCAAGAAAAACATTAACAGACTGGCAAATAAAGTCCGAGGGGTCTGGATACATAATTAAGATGGAAATCAGGACAAGCGGAGGGAGGGAGGGTGCGGAGACGATTACAGCTCGATTTCTCCAGCAACAATTTTACATTATACCATGTCTGAATGCATTTTATCTTATCAATTCAATATACCGACGGGTTGATTCGACCTTAAACGATGGACCATGGCTCCGACTATTCACAACCCTGCCAACACACGCCCAAAACTGGGTGCGGGGGACGGTGGTGACGACGGGGGGGTTTGGGTGTATCCGGAGTTGATGTTGGGGAAATATGTATTATGCCGCCACCCGAAATTTCCAGAATGTTGTAGACGGACTTAAAAGGCAATCTTACTCATTTTTTGACTATTTTGAAGTTAAAGTGCGTTTTAGGTGACATTTGATATTATGCTTACGGATACTTTGATAATTTTGACGGGGGGATCCAGGAGTGACGACGGGGCTGTGGACTGGGTTTTTGGCCCGCATATTCCCGTCCTTCCTGCTAGCACATGCCCAATACTGGAGGAGGGCTGACGATGGGAGGATCAGGGTGTACTTGGAGTCGATATTTAAGGCAAATGCATTATTACGCAACCCGAAATTTCCAGAATGCTGTAGATAGACCTAAAAGGCAATCTAACTCATTTTTGACTACTTTTGAACTTATTGTGCGTTTTAAGGTGACATATAATATTACATTTACGGATAATTTGATAATATGCATACTCTCCCCAGAACTTCGACGGGAAATTCCGGAGTTGAGGACGGGAGTAAGCACGGGGATAAGCGGGTTGAAAACCCCGTCCTTACACCCGTCGAATGCCCGTCGTCACCCCCGGATCGCCCCTCCCCCCATCTCCCCGGAATTTCGACGGAGGGGTCCAGGGATTTGACTGGCAGGTAAGCCAACTTCCGATCGTTTCTTTACTTTTAATGGTCCTAATGGTAGAATCAGACTCAGACTCAGCGGTCCTGATGCATAATAAAATGAATATAATCCGGTTGTCGAGGTTACCTACAAGTCACTGGTTAAAGATTAAGCCCATTAAGGGCGTAAGTGTTGAGCAAAATTCAACAGCCAATTTAATATATCCTGTCGAGATAAGTATTCGAATTCTTGCACTCACGGGCACGGATAGTTAGTCATATTTGGTCGTGTTTAATAACAACAAGCACTAGTCTACATGGCGTGGATTCATTATGTGGCAAAAAATACCGCCAGAAATAGAAACGATTTGTAACTGGTAGATTTCTGTCATAGGTCTGGGCAGGGAATTGTCCCCGCCTTTAACTATAGTCTTTATGAAATCCTTTCCCGCATACTCACATTTAAAAGAGGCCGATTATCTGCGGCGGGCTCATACTATATACATTCATAGTATGTGGGCAAATTTAAGATTTTTGGAAAATAAATTGGTACGGAGCCTATCAGAGTGTTTCTGTTATGTTAGGTTTCCAAAATTAAAATACTAATCGATTTTGTCGCCTATAACGAGGGCAGGATGGTAACTTTTAAAACGGCATTTTGTGACCGTCAAAAAGATCTAAATTTGTAAAGAAGGGTACAATAGTAAAGAACAGGGAGTTTTGCCTGCAATTAATGTGAGGGTACCATAGGAACCATGGTGTCATGAGCGAGAATGAGGTTTGATGATGCGGGAAGTCGACTACCAGTTTAATCCTTACTCGCGCTCAGGTCACTGCACCAACCTGTTTGGAGCATAACTTGGGCATCAACAAAATAGATG